TTCCGTCTGATTTCAATGAGCCAACACCAAAAAACTTCATCAACAATAAAATGAAAAAAGTCTTAATTTTAATTTTACACACTCACAGGAAAACGTACTGAAATTCATTCATATATACTGAATGAATTTATTAAAAACGAATAAGTATTAGAATCTTTTCTGTGAGCACAAGCTGAGCAGAGCTTTGACTGCGAGCCAAACTAATTAAGTTGGTGCCACTTTTACCACAGACAATTACAAATCAGATTTTAAAAAACTTGAGTTTCCAACTTGACTAAAGATTTACATTTAACAAGTACTTTTCGAAAAGAAATAATCTCAAAATATGGAGGTCCTTGACGTTTCGATCCTAGCAGAATCTTTCTCAAAGGCTAGAGGAAGATTCTGCTAGGATCGAAAGTTTTCGAAACGTCATGTCCTCCACATTTTGAGATTTGTATTGCAGGTCATTGTAGTCAGCAAGCAGTTTGCAGCAGTTTTGTATTACATATCTTCGAAAAGAAAAATGTCAGTGTTCACTGAGAACGATCAGTTTTATAATTTAGACAAAGTTTCTTTCATTGCGTTGACTGAATTTCCTTGCTTGTTACTTCACTCGACGGAAACGTCAGCTCTCTGTCTCTCGCTTTAGTTTCATCTCTGCCCTGAAGATAAATATTCCGTCATTCATGTCACATCGTTTGTCACACGATTTGAGTTCAATGCGTCTGCAGATCTCACAATCACATATCATGGCTTTCTTCGAGATTTTTCTGGTGAAATCTGGGGGAAATAAACGACAAATATTACTCGGTTTTTAAAACCATTTTTGCCGATTAATACATTTGTATGTAGGCCTAGGCTTAAAGTCACCATAGGCTGTAGCACAAGAAATGACAAGGCGTGCAGAAACTTTCTGAATGTGCGACTCACATGTCAAGCTCTCCTTCTTTCAAACTTAATTTACCAGTGATGTGCACACCTCAACCATTATTTTTTTCCCCAAATTTATCCATTTTGAGAGCAGAATTTAGTTTGTCTTCGAAATCTCAAGATTGAAGTCCTCCTGAAAATACGTATACGCGGGACGCACCACAGACATATGAACAAATAGACCGCCAATCTTGCGCGTAAAACCGTGATGTTGAAAGTATGGGCAAGCAATGAGCGAAGCGACGGATGGCAGCGCTCCCTATGGGCCAGATTAAGTAAGTAGATTTTTTTTTTACAATTGAAAAATGGCTTCATAGAATTTTATGGCTGGAATTCTTCAACTGTGCGTAAATTCCCTATACCGAGGGGTGAATTTGCCCATAGTTTTGATTTTATCAGGCGTCGTGCAGATCACTGATCTCTATATATTATACTGACAGATCGCGAAAACCCCTATGGGTGCATTCCACCAACTGGTTGTATTTCTGCGCACGAGCTCATTAATATTTGTGATCGGGGTTTTTACAACATGCTATAATCAGGAGGCATCATAGAAATATTTCTATAAATCCCGAATTTTGGATTGATAGTTTCCAGTTCGGGGTGTTTCTTTCAAAACTCCCCAAATTGCGGGCCTATTTTGGATTGAGGCAGGCGGCTACATTCAGAAATGAGCGGTAGTTTTACTGCTGTTTTGGGAGTATCTTCCATGAAAGGCGAATAAAAGATATTTTCGTGGCTAACTCCCATGAAATTGAAACGAAAAGTGATCTTCTGGCCATCATCTTGAATTTCAAGTGAAAAAATACGGAGGCCAACCTCTTCACGAGAGTCAACAGGCGGCGCTATTTCGGTCCGGTTTTGCACTGTTTTCAATAGGTGCGTATTTGGTGCACTTAGTGCAACCATTGATCTCCTAGATCCTTTACATAATGGAGAGAAAATGCAATGCAATCTGTGGTCTGGCGCGTGACGTGCACGGACGTGTGTTTGGCCGGCCTGCATGCAGTCTAACGCATGCACTTCATGTCTGACAAACAATTCAGGCAAACATGCAGGGCCTGGATTTATGACAGTTTGAATGTGACTTAATAAGCATTGAGAAATAATGTGTAATTTCAATTATCTAAACCCTCGAGATGTGCCCAAATGAAAATTTTACTTAATCACCAACTACGTGTACAAAATTAAACAAAGTCTATGTTCGATTGTTGCCCATGACCTCCAGTAAGTTTCTTGGGTAAGTTCCGGCCATAGCGCTATCGCTATAGCTAGCGCAAAGGGATGGTACTTTTACCAGTCTTGGTAGAACGGAGCATTGTGAGTAGATTGTGTACACTTTGAGAACAGGGATCAAGGGTTAAGATTAGAAAGGTTGTAATATTGGTAAGGACAATAATACATGAAAAATCATAACATGGATAATAATGAGACCGTATCAATAAAATCTCATCATGGACATGATCATGATGGATAATCATTACTATTACACAAGTAATTTGGCTGCATGGGACCTCGTCAAGGTTTAGCACACATCACTGATTCATTGTTACAGCCTTTTCGGGGTTAGTTATTATCATGAAATTTGTGGATGGCCTGACCCTACGAAAGATTTCAGTGTTTCTGAACTCATTGAAGGCTGTCGCAGGGGCCACACCCCAGTCGTTAATCGTTTGCCCATGTCTAGCTCCGCCACTGTTATTGCCTAAAGAGGCAATTCCACATGCTCCTCAAAGTTTGAAGCTAAACTAAATAGCTGCTGTAGTGTGTGCATTCTTTGGCTACATGTGTTTGGGTGAATTCACTGCCAATTCAAGAAGTAAGTTACAAGAGTCTCTATTGTGGCTGTCTGACATTGAGTTTTGCAGTTGGGATTCCCCCATGCATCAGTGTTGATTTCCTTTATATAGTAAAAGTAACAAAACCGACTCCCGCAAAAAATTCAACTGCGTGCTCTGTCCGTCACATGGTGCTACTGCAAACCTTTCCACTTATTGCTGTCTTTCAGCATGAATAGCCTGAAATTCCATCCACTTTAAAGAAATCAATCACATGCAGGGCACAGCCCAAGGAAGAAAACACCCCCATTCATAAACCTTACCCCACCACAGGCAGTAAAAAAATCCATTAAATGGCAGTGCAAAGATTCCCTCTGAAAACTGTGCTTCCTTTAGGAGACAAATGGACACTATCGGGCCTATAAATGTTGAGAAATATCCTGTGAAACTGGTTGTGCCTTATCTGAAGAGCTACCAATTAAGACGTTCGCAACGAGAGTGCACCCACCTGTTGACTGCTCTCCTCTGCCTAACCTTTGCCTCCTTGGGGTTGACACCAAAGTAAAATGCCCTGTGGGAAGGACTTTGGACCAGAGCAAAATTGCTTTGGGGTAAAGCTCTTGACAGTTATGCACAAAAATAACGACTCTCTGTCGTATTGAGGGGAAATCAACTTGATCCAGATCATTATAAACCACAATTATGGAAGGTGGAGGGCCTTTCATATCATGTAATTAATCTGGAAGGTTACATATATTGGGGCCACTCTTGCCATGCCAAAGTACTGGACTAGAAACCTTGAGGGTCTTGCTGCTCAACAAATTATTAAATCCCCAATGATCTGTACTGGCCCTGTCAAGACGGAAGAAGGACAGAAGGAATGTTAAGGTCAAGTTGAGGGCAGTGAACAGTCTTTTAACCAAATGCTGCCAGGGATCCCGGTTTCGGCACATTGGCTTTATACACGAACCGGACAAAAGAGCTGGGCCTTGTAACAAAAGACCGTACTCAGAACAAAAGACTGAGCTGCTGGGAATTGTCAACATTTTTTCAAGTTGTCAATAGAGGAAGAAATCTGTCATTATTTTGATAGATTCTACCACTGTTTGTGGCATTCAGCATGAGCGGATTACTGCCAGGGACAAAAGCGCTCCAGTGATGAGCGATACAATACTGCTGCACGCCAGTCTGGCCCCTATTAAAAAGACGCCAGTGGCGCACTATGCCAGTTTCAGGAACAAAAGAAAGTTACATAACACCGCTCAATCTGGGCTCTTTTTACAAGGCGGTAGGCCTGCCTGAAATACTTGGGCGTCAATATTGAGATTCTGTCTGTCAGATTAGAGTAGCCACCAGACAGTCATTCATGTGGGTGTAAATGTCCAGTAAATGAAGCTATGATTTTTTGAAGAATTTTGAAAATGGAAAACCTTGAAAATCACCTAGTTTTACGTCATGCAACTTCAAATTCCACCCGGCAGCAAGTGGTTAAGCATTGTAAAGGCATGGGGTGAGTGAAGGTTAAAACTGTGTCAAACTGCCAAGCCGCATCTTTTGAATACTCAATTCGTAGACAGTTGTGGCGGTCCAAATGCAGAATGAGTCATGGGATACTGTACCTCTTCTTTCTAACAGAAAGCCAATGCTTTTCAAGATTGCATTAATTTGGTAGGCCCATCAAGTAGAGGCCCATCAAAGTGGCAAAAGAGAGGGCGCAGGCCCGAGGGATGACTTGATGTGTAGTCATTTCCGGTTGTGGGTGGCATTTAGTCCGAAATGTTGAGTATACTCTCGGTTCTTTTCAAAACCACAAATACTCATAAGAGGTATATTCCTTTGCATGGTGCTACTGCAAACCTTTCCACTTATTCTTTGAAGCGGATAAAACACTCCTGTCATTTATGAACGGTTTGTTACTCTTGACATTATAAAATTGTAAATAGTACGTTGATTGGATAAAGTTCATTGTGATGCATTGACGGAGTAGCTAGTGTCTAATGGTTGCTGTAGCCATGTCTTCCCTTGAGCAAGTGCAACAGGGGAGGATAAACCATTCTTTCTTTTGTAAGTAAAAACAAAGAAGGAATGGTGTCTGGAAATTCATTTGTTGACTTTGCTCATGTACAGATCATTATTACAGCTTGGTGAAGTTATGAAGTGTTCTGGATATACAATCTGCATGCAGGCTAAAAGGATAAATTAATTGGATTACTGTTGGATAGACATGAAGTATCATGGAGTCTGTAACTGCTCTATTTTTTAGGAACTTTTTGGTTCGATCCATTTTTGTTTTATTTTCATTTTCAGCAGAGATGTGAATCATTTCCCAAGATTTCCTTAGTTCTGCACAAGTGTACAGCTTAGACATGACACTCCTGATGATTACATTCATAGTAGCCTGCAGTTCAATAGACCTTACAACAGCAGTTTGTCAGTGGCAAGCTGCAGCGGATAGTCAACTCAAATCAGAAGAAATGGCTATGACACAAGATGGAGAGAGTCTAACTACACGGTGGCATTTTTCCAGAGATCCTACAGAAATTGGAAAGGTGAGGTACTTTCAATTTTCATTTTTGAAGGAGAAACCCACAGTGAGAAGTTCCCTAAGCTCACACTTGAATCTTTACACTGCATTAAGTTGAACATTGAA